GCATGCATTAATAGACCCAAGCAATAATATTTTCCATCTACATCTTTTGCATAACATTGCAACAGTTTTTTTAGGAACCTGGACGTGCGGAAAACCCCTCGTCTTGTGACATTTCGGTGTGGTCACTTTGTTTTGACTTGTGTTGTAATGATCACATTAACACAGCCTAGTGCCACACATTCCCTAAAATATCTTTGTGTCATTTAATCAACGATAATTTTATATCAGTGAGATCTACTTAATATTTTCTTACAATTGCTAAATCATGAAATACATTTGACGATGTTTCCTACATGTGTCCTTGCAGCGTCAGAGAAAGACCCTCCGGATGTTCTCAGCAAGACCAAGTGCCTTGAGTATTTAGCATCTCTGCGACATGCTAAATGGTTTCAGGTAAAAAAAAAAAAAGGGGCTTCGAAAGTTGATAAAAGTCTAATTTAGGATAGGTTTTAATTGTACTTAAAATTTTAGGACAATAGACACTTAATCTGTAACCTTGTTAAAAAGCATTGGAGAAGCTCCTTTAAAATTGCATTTTGCTACGTTACAAGCAACTCATAATTTAACATAGTTGTCAACGTTGTTAAATTGTAACATTGTTACATTAGGCATAACATTAAAAAAATATTTCTGAAAAAGTAATAACTACTACAAAGGTAATAGCCGAAAGTATTTGAATATAGTGAATTTTTATAACCGTTATTTAAACACTAAATTGACTTGATAGCTAAAAAAATCGTTATTGAGAAAGCTTAATTTAGCTACCATGCTATCGACTTTAGCCTAAACTCGAAACATACTTTTCGTAAGTATCGCTTTTATCAGCGCAAGTTTGACTTGTATTTCATTCATGGCTATGTTCCTAAACGCAATTAGTAACGCATCGCTAAGTGCACTTTATTTTCAGTATTGCCACAAGGAGCGCTGTAATCGTCATTATTGTAAACTTACTTCCTCTACGATCCATTTTGTTGTTCAGGAACAACAATTCGAAAAGAATATCGCGGATCAAGTCAGTTAATTTTATTGTCAACTGGTTAGCATGTTAGCTAACTAACTACCTGAATAATAATTTGTAGTTAAGCATGTACAATGAGAACTGTGTGTTTACAAACTTGTGTAGAGTATGTTTTTGGTCTTAGACTCAGCGATTGTTTAATTTTAGTAACATTTTAGCATTAGCTGTTGTTCGCCGTGATTGTATCGCCTATTAATGAGTTTTATGCACTATGACTTATGATTCAGTCTTGCGTCATTATGCTTTAGATTGCTACAGTAAATTATAACAGACAAGTTAGACATAATGTAAAAATATATATTTAAAAAAATATATTTGTCAGTCTACATGTTACTAGCAAAACAGCTAAATATAGAAACATTTTTAAGGAAGTGTTTAGGCACTAAACTACTGGGAAAGCTACACTTAGCTAACTGACATGGCACTGACTTTCGATTAAACCCAAAACATACTCTACGCAAGTATCTATTTCTTCTAGCAATGCATATTCGATTTCATTTATAGCTATATTCCTAAATATGTCAATACGCAATTAGTAACGCATCGCTAATATGCCTTATTTTCAGTATTGCCACAAGGGGCACTATAATGTACGTTAACAAACTTTTTACTTCTATGACTGATTTTCATTTTCAGGAGCAATAGTGTGTAAAGAATATCGTAGAGCAAGTCAGCTAAGTTTATTGTCAACTGGTTAGCATGTTAGCTAGCCAATTACCTAAATAATTTGTAGTTAAACGTGTACAGTGGAACTGTGCACTTGCGATACATTGGCCAAGTGTTTGCGCACTTACATAGAATATGTTTCTGGTCTTAGAATCGACCGTTGAATAATTTTAGTAGCATTAGCATTATCAATTAGCATTCACATTTGTGTTATTAACTGAAGTGCTGTAGTTAGCTGTGGTTATTGCATATTAACGAGTTTCATCCACAGGCTCGGGCGAACGGTCTTCAGTCTTGCGTCATCATTATTCGGGTTCTGCGGGATCTGTGTCAGCGCGTACCTACCTGGGGCAAGATGCCCGACTGGGTCAGTTAGCTTTGTTTGCTAACAGTGATTTGAGTTGTAGCTAATAATGGTCGCATTAACTAACGTGTTGAGTTTTCTTTTGCAAAGGCCATGGAGCTGCTTGTTGAAAAAGCCATTAGCAGTGCATCTGGTCCACTCAGTCCCGGAGAAGGTCTGCGGAGGGCCCTCGAATGCATCGCCACCGGGATTATATATATATATTATAGTTCTATAGATTGATTTTAATGTTAGTCTAAATTCTAGTAATTTGTTGTGCTTTTATCATTTTTATTAATCTTTATTTTTCTAAATATTTCTATTTAGCTCTTATTGATTTTAATTTTAGTTTTTAGTAATTTTAGTACTTCAACTCGACTTAAGTTGCCAAGGCCATATTTCTCATTTGCGATTTTTTATTTTTTTTTTACTCTAATTTTTATATTAGTTTATTTAAGATTTAACAGAAATCATTTTTAATAGTTCTACTAATTTTATGTGCTTTTGTAATTTTTATTAGTTTAAATTTTTCACTACATTTCTTTTTAGCATTAATTTATTTTTATTTCCGTTTTAGTACTTCAGCTTTATTTTGGTTAGTTTCCAACATAACATGCCAGATTATTTTTGCATTTTTTTATTTATTTTTTGGTTTAACCAAGTTTTTTGTTTTATGTTTTTCATCTAATATTTAGATTTTATTTTATTTCAGCTTTATTGCAATTAGCAAAACTGTTTTTAATAGTTTTAGTTAACAATAACAACACTGGGGTAGGACGCAATACTTGTATGTGCTTTTGTCGTTTTTATTTAGATTTTGCTTTTAAATATTTCTATTTAGGTTTAATTCATTTTTATTTCTATTTTAGTTTTAGTAATTAAAAAAACAATTGGCAATTAACGTAAAACTAGTTTATTTGATGTATTTTATATTATTTAAGCTTTATTTTTTAATTGTTTTAATTGACAATAGCAACCCAGCGATAAGACAGTAATTTTGTTATGCGTTTTTGTCATTTTATTCGTTTTGTTTTTCTGGATATTTCTATTTAGGTTTAATTTTTATGTCACTTTTAGTTTTCTATTGTAATTTTAGTACTTAAACTCATTTTATTTCAATTAGTTGCCAAGGAAATTTAAACATTTTCACTTCAAGTTTTACATTTAAAATGCAATATATTTTGTTTTATATCAGCTTTGTTTTTAAATTAACCAAACCAACTTTTTTTCTTGCTACACATTTCGTAACCCATTTACATACATATTTATATTTAAGTCAGTCATTAAATGTCTGTCCACCCCTCAGATGGTCCAGGTCTTCTCGACCCGTGTGAGAAAGGTCAAACAGATGCTCTGGGAAGCATGTCGAAACAAGCTCGGGAGGACGTGACCGCTAGTGCCCAGGTACTAAACAATGTTTTTCTAACAAACTTTTCCATTTGCATGATCCATGCTTATTCTGAAAGCACGTCTCGTTGTGTTTCAGCATGCGCTGCGACTGCTGGCTTTCCGTCAGATCCATAAGGTCCTCGGCATGGGCTCACTGCCGATCTCAAAGGCCGGAGCTCGAAACCGCAAGAGACGACGCGACGGCAGCGACGCCGGCGAGGGAGAAGCCGACGGAAAGAAGGATAAAAAAGACGATTCTCACATCCCTTGAGACGTCTGCGTAATCTTCGCAAGCTGTTATATCTTTGCAAATGTATAAATATCACTCGAAGAGGAAAAAATACAACATCCGATGGTTCCGTTTTTCAAAAGAGCAAGATATGGAAAAAACGTAGTCGTTCCCCTTTTATGATGCAATATGTCTTTCTAATACATCTGAGCTGAAAATAGGCCGAAATGCAGCAGCCGCATCCCTTTTTCAGAGCATCAGATGATGAGTGAATGTCGCTAACGATCAGTGACCAAAATAATACATAAAGTTACTGAACGTCACATTAGCTCTATTAGGCACTTTGACATATTAATGGCACTTAATTAAAAGCTTTAATTATCCAGACACAGGCCAGTCTTTTTTGTTTACATCTTATATATATATATATATATATATATATTTAAAAAACATTTTTTACAGTGGGGCCCAAAACTCTGTGTCCACATTGACATTTTTATTTGCCAGACATTTTAACATGGAAATAAATGTTTTATTATTTAGAAAAATGTAAAATGAACATCATAACATAAAATTAATAAGAAATATTTAAGTTTTTCATTACTAATGAAATTACGGTAATTTAGTGACAATGCAAAATGTAAACAGATGGACACTGCTCTCAAATTGTTTGGCAAAAAATGCAATTTTTATTTATAAAAAAAAATTTCTGGAAAAATTTAAAGTCTCAGACTTTTGGATCCCACTGTATAGACAAAATATTTCGATATATTTATAAATATAAATCTGTTCTATGTAATAGTAGGGCTGTGACGATAAATCCATGCAGAATCGATTTGTGGATTGGTTCTGAGATCTTCCGAATGCATCGTGATTCTCTCTGGAATCGATTCTGAGCTTAGATTTTAACAGCAGATGGCGCTCTAATCTAGTTTTTATCCGCACACTCAAATGCTCATGTAATCTCACCTCGGCTCAGAATGCTTTTATGACGCAAGATTAATGTAACCGCAGCCCACTGTGAACACCCTTGTAATTTGCTTCAACCTTTTCTAATTTTATGAATGATTATTTTAGGTTCAAGTGTGTGTAAGGATTTGGAAACAAGCAGAGTACGGCTGTTTCTAAAGCGTGCAGCGCCATCTACTGTTCAAAACTAAGCTCAGAATCGACTCAAAGAATCGCAATGCATTCGGAAAATCTCAGAATCGATGCAGAATCATTTCTCGATTCGCGATGCATCGATTTCTTTTCCCAGCCCTATGTAATAATATTATAATGTATTATATAATAATATTATGTATAATATTGATAATAATATGTTATGATTAACATGATATAATATGATTATATTATGTATAATATTATTGCAAAGTAATTAGTTTCTCTACTGTGTATCTTTAAAAAAAATAAGTTTTTAAAACAAGTAGTTATTAGTATTCACTAATAAGCTGTTAAAAGCGACACGATTCAGCTTTGTGTGGTTGTTTATTAACCCGACACTGGATTTATACACGTTTAGGCATCAGATCTGTAACCGACGGAGGAAAAAAAAAATAAATAAATAGACTTATTACTTCTCTGCTATCATTATTTTTATTTGCATACTGAATAATCGCTCATTTCACGGTGAGAAGCTGGCGTTTCGACAGGGTATCGAGCCGTTGTTCTCTAGCGAACGACGCGAAAACACAACGTAAAGTCTGTGGTTCTTCACATGTGCCTGCGGTAAAGACTAAAAGTACTTGAAATGTGAACGAGGAGGTGAATTTCCGGTTCTTCATATTGCAATATAATATAATGTAATACCTCTCTATTCTTACATTTTTATATAAAAGAGTAAAATCTAACGAGAGATGCGCAGTTTGCTAGAAAGATTGCTATTCGTATATATTGAACTGATTATTCGTATCGCCTGAATTTGCGTTCTGCCACCTGTTTTTATGTATAATGCAATCGTATCCCGGTGTTTTTAAATGTTCCTGCTGAGTGTTTGTTCTCGTTTTGTAGGACTGTGAATAATTATAGTGTGATCTTTCTTTCAGTTGGAATATCTGTGTAGTGCTGCTTAACTAAATAAACGGAGAAAACGATCAGACTGCACGGCCCGCCTGTGTCTGTTTTGGTTCAAGCTGAAGCCTTTTTATTGCTTTATATTTTTGCCATCATATATGGTCATAAATAGGGGTGGAAAACACGTCAGAGGCACAGCATGTATATCAGGAGGAAGTGAGCGCGTGTGTAATAAACCTCTGATGAGTGTGTAACCGCTCACATGGAGTGACACCAGCAACATATTCACAAACAAACTCATACTGGTGAGTGACAAGAATCTCAAAAATATCAAGAATACAGTTTGTTTGTTTTCATTTTGTACAGCACTGGGCTTACAAAGCTACTAGTTTAATGTTTATATCTTGTGTATAAGGAGTTTTCTTGATTTTATCATCTTAATCTGTACTAAAAAAGTATATGCACACAAAACATTTTTTGAATATACAAACACTCATGTGTATTTAAGGTGTGTTTTAAAAAAAAATAATTTTCTTGAGTTCAGTTGTCTTCTTAAAATTTTATTTGATTATTTATTTTTGTGGAACATTTCAAATTACATTTGAGTTTTTTCCAGTCAAGGGTTTATGCAAAATGGTTAACATTTAAGTTTTGAATGTGAGTTTTTATTTATTTATTTATTTATTTTACATATAACTCATTTTTTAAATACTTTTTTCCCCTTCGTATCAGTTTTTTTTGTTGTATTTTTTTATTCATTTACTTTTTTGCTGTTTTAATAACGTTGTACTTTTTTCCAGTCAAGGTGTCATGCGGTGTGACTTATTATTTTTTATTATTTAGCACGTGTGTATTGAGGATTTTTTTTAAACGTTTTTGAAGTGCCAATTTGATGTAATGTTAATTTGACATATTTTTCAATTCATATTGATTTAGTTTTTCTCCACGATTCGCCATTTTAATCACTTTTTGTGATGTGACAATTTATTTAATTCATATGTTTATTGAGTTTTTTAATGGATTTTTGGGCCATTTTGATTGCCTTTTAGCGTTGTTGTTGTTGTTGTTGTTTTTTAAATGGCTATGTGGCTTGATATTACTAGGGGAGTCCCCGACTAAGGATTTACAAAGTCGAATCGGAATTTTCGAATCTTGCTGATAGTCGAATCATATGTTTGGGGCGGGGGGGGGCAAAAGAGTCAAGTCAGACATTGGACAGTAATAATTAGCCTACTGACGTTAACACAGGGAAAATGTGTAACGGATGCCTCACATATACAAAAATAATGTTTTGATTAAAAGATAGCTAATATTAAAGGTCAGCGAAACCCTAAGAACAACATTTTTTTACAACAGTACTCTCAACGTTATGTAGCCTACATGACAGTAGTTATTAAAGGGGTCATATGATCCGTAGTATTACAATGAAGCGCTTTACTGCAGCGCAACTCAACCAAATGCATCTTATACGAGATAAATAATATATACACGATATATTACATTTACATTTATTAATTTAGCAGACGCTTTTATCCAAAGCGACTTACAAATGAGGACAATAGAAGCAATCAAAACTAACAAAAGAGCAACCATAAGTGCAAATGACAAGTCTCACACACAACGAAAAACAAGTAGATAGAAAAAAATAGAAAGCTGCTAGTTTTTTTTTTTTTTTTAAAAAGATAAATAGATAAAGCAGAATTAAAATAGAATAGAAAGTGCTAGAGTTAGAGGGTCAAATAAAGATGGAACAGATGTGTTTTTAGTCGATTCTTGAAGATGGCTAAGGACTCAGCTGCTCGGATTGAGTTGGGCAGGTCATTTCACCAGGAAAAATCACCTTTATATAAACCGGCTTGAAATCATTTATACCCTACCTGATCGGGAAAAAATCCAGTCCTTGCCGCCCAAATGTTGGATTGTGGAAAGTGAAACTTAGGGGTGGTTGGATTTATTCACGCACGTTAAAAACATTTATTAGAGGGTCAAATAAAGATGGAACAGATGTGTTTTTAGTCGATTCTTGAAGATGGCTAAGGACTCAGCTGCTCGGATTGAGTTGGGCAGGTCATTCCACCAGGAAAAATCACCTTTATATAAACCGGCTTGAAATCATTTATACACTACCTGATCGGGAAAAAATCCAGTCTTTCACTCTGTCTTGTTAAAGATTTAAATCCTTGCCGCCCAAATGTTGGATTATGGAAAGTGAAATTTAGGGGTGGTTGGATTTATTCACGCACGTTAAAAACATTTATTAAAAGCTCCTTTCTTTTCAGATTCTTATTTACAACATTATCTTAATAGGCTGTATATTAACTTATTGGGAGAAAACCAGTAGTTGTGAAATCAGACATTGAGCACATATAGCCAAAATGGCTTGATCATAACACCTCAGCGAATATTCGACTGAGACTGATAGTTGAATCAGGCTCCTCCTATCGAAGATTCGAATCTTCAACTATTCGGTGTCTCCCCTAGATATTAGCCTACTATTAAATTAATGTGTAATATTTGACATTTTTTGGCTTTTTTCCTGCATTGACAAATGTGGAAAATTAATATTTAATTCATGTGTTTTGGGAATGAATTTTTGGGCCATTTTTTACTTTTTTTGCATTTTTCTTAGGCTAATTTAGATGAAGTATAAAATTGTGCGTGGCTATAACATGCTAAAACATCATGTCCAATCTTTTTATGTTTTTTTTTGTTTTTTTACCGCGGTTTCTCCATCAGGTTGAAGGTCTGAAGATCTTCAGATGTTCAGTGCTCAATAAACACATGGCGATGGTAAGCCAGACATCCTGCTAAATATTAGCCAATGACTTGAGATGTTTTCATACCTCACTTCTCACTAACTCTATCATCATTACTCTATTGACTCTACTGTTACTCAGAAGAACTGGACGGCAGGAACTCAGTGCGTCGCCAAAAAGCAGCACTGCAAGCCTAAAGCCGGTGAAATAGCGTATCACAAAGGCGACATCTTGACAGTCATCGGACCTGGAACGGTAAAATAATCACCATTCCTAAACACATTCTCCCATATAAAGCCAGAGGCTGGCTAAAGTTTTAGTTTTTTTCTTTTTTCAGAGGAATGCAGAATACAGAGCCCGACATAACGCAACAGGAGAGGAAGGATTGGTCTCGGGTTCGAAACTCCGAGAAAGGGAAGCCCTCCGTATCGACCCCAAATTAAGCCTGATGCCGTAAGTGAGCAGAAATCTGAATTCTGAAGAACTGCGATGAGGAACAAGCTTGTAATGTTGTAGTAGTTACTCCAGAGAAGGACAGGATGTGGTTATAGTTTATGTCACCAGAGGTTATTTAAGATTTGACGTTGTTTACAATCTTCTCAGATGGTTTCACGGCAAAATATCGGGACAGCAAGCCGTCGGCAAACTTAAGCCCGTGGAGGACGGGCTTTTCTTGGTGCGGGAGTCGGTTCGGCATCCCGGCGACTTCGTGCTATGCCTCTGCTTCAGTCAGAAGGTCTTCCACTACCGAGTCATCTTCAAAGACAACAAACTGAGCATCGACAACAAGCAGTTCTTCTACAACCTCATCGACATGATCGAGGTGCGTCCGGTGGCTAATTTTAGCGTGCATGTTTCTTCATTTATCTCGCTTTTCCAGTGACACATCTGTGCTGCTCGCGTCCTGTGGTTTTCGAGGGGAAATGAGAACTGGGCCACTCGTTTGTGGCGAGCGTCAGATGCTTTTAAAGAAACTCGGGGCCCAAAGCGCAACAGTATGGCGGCTCAGAGCGCTGCCTACGAGGCTATCGGCGCCGATTATTTATTTTTAGATAATCAGTGCCGATATATATATGACTTTAACTGCAAAAAATAAAAACAAATGGTGAAAACTGCCAGTAAATGGTATATTAATATAATGGTATATTAATTTCCCATGTTCACACACTTTCTTTCTTTCTTTCTTTATAAAGCACTTTCACACAACTACCTGTTGATCCAAAGTGCTGTACAATACAGCTAAAATAAAATAAATTAGAAACAGCAAAACACAATATAACAATACAATTGACATGGCTAGATAAAAGCTATTGACAAAAGATGTTTTTTTTAAGCTGGTATTTAAATACTGGCAAAGAGGGCGCAGCTCTAATAGAAGCTGGTAATTTGTTCCATAGACTAGGACCGGCAACAGCGAAGGCTCGATCACCTCTACAAAGGAACCTCGATCTAGGAACAGAGAGGAGACCAAGATTACTGGATCTTAGGGACCTATTTGGTTTATGAATAGAGATTGCCTCAGAGAGAATTGATGGTGCTCGATTATGAAGAGATTTAAAAACAAAAGTAAAAATTTTAAAAACAATTCTATATTTGACTGGTAACCAGTTTAGTGAAATAAGAATGGGCGAGATGTGATCGAACCTACGTCTGCCTGTCAGCATCCTTGCAGCAGCATTTGGGACCATCTGTAAACGCATTATAGAGGACTGACTTATACTATAGAGAATTACAGTAATCTAAATGAGATAAACAAGCGAATAATCTGTTCAAACTGTTTTATAGAGAGTAAAGATTTGATTTTCGATAAACGCTGTTAGTGGAAGAATCTTGATGCTACACTAGACTGAACTAATTTGTTTCTCAAAACCCAGGTTGCAATCAAAAAGAACACCAATATTTTTTAGCACAGGGTGTAAAGTAGGAAGAGAGATGACCAAAATGAAGGGCACAGTCTTCATATGACTTTAAACCAAACAAAATGATTTCGGGTTTTGTTCTCGTTTAACACTAAAAGATTCGTATTTAACCATATTTGTAATTTGTTTAGACAATCCAACAGAGGTCCTAAGAATTCTTTACTTTTATGCTGCAAGGTAAAATACAGCTGAGTATCATCCACATATAGGTGGAAGGGCACTCCATATTTCTCAAAGATAGCACCCATCGGTAGCTTAAATATAGAAAATAAAACTGGGCCAAGAATTGAGCCCTGTGGAACCCCACAAGCAAGTGGGCGTGAGGATGACCTATGTTGGCCAATAGAAACACTAAAACTTCTGTTTGTTAAAAAAGACAATTTCAACACCTTACCCTGTAACCCAACACAGCTCTCCAACCTGGAAATCAAGATATTGTGGTCAACCATATCAAATGCAGAGCTTAAGTCTAAAAGCACCAAAGCCACAGCATTCCCTTTATCTGTTTCTAATAAAATATCATTTACAAATTTTAAAAGTGCACTTTCCGTGCTGTTGTGACTTAAAACCCGATTTGAATTTTTTTCACATTTTATTCACTTTCATATTTTAGTCATGCAGTGTTAGCAAATTATTATTTTATTTATTTACTTTATCACATCTGAGCTTTTTTTAAGTGGCTGTGTGGTGTGATTTTTTTTTAAATAGGAGTTATTATTATTTATCATAATTTTTTATAACAATCGATTATTTTTTCACATTTCATTGTTTTTAATCACTCTTTGTGGTGTGACAAATTATTATTATTTAGGCTAATCCTTGTCCTCAACTCCCTCTTGTAGACATTGCATCACACTTTCTAACTGCAGCTGATGTTATGACTTTATTGGGAATTAAAGGGGAATTTCTGGTGTTTTGTAGCCACAGCTGGTTTTATAAATGCTGTGTTTGTTTGACAGTTTTACAGCAGAAATCAAGGCGCCCTCGCTACGCTTCTGCTGAAGCCCAAGAAGAAGGAAGGCACGAAATCTGCCGAGACGAAGCTGTTGAAATGTATGTGTGACTCGAAAGAGCTCCAAAAATACCTGAGGATTGATTTCTAGTAGTTTAACACTGTAAATCTGGCTCTGTGTTACAGCCGGCTGGCTTTTGGATCTGTCCAAACTTACGTTAGGAGAGACCATTGGAGAGGGAGAGTTCGGTGGTATGCTGTCCTTTTGAATACACATGTGGACTTTGTTATTGTAGTTCTCTCAGATAACCAATAGAGAGCAGAATTTGAATGAGACATCGGCTATTATTGGGATGAGAGCAGTAATTGCACACTGTATACTGTCATTTTTGATGAATAATATGTCAAAAATACATTATGCAACGTTATTGTGTTTAATTCAGTGAGTGGAGAAAAATTTGACTATTTTACTGTAAGTTAATTTTAAGTTAATTTTGTGAAAAATTTTGGCAATCCAGTGATTATTTTTATCTAGTGGGAATATATATATATATATATATATATGAACACAACAAAATTAAAATTACATTTAAAGTAATATACATATTTAAATTGTATATATACATTTCTATATATATTAAATTAAATGTATAAATAGACATATATATTAATTACATTTAAAATGCTAATAAATAAACATAAATAATTAATATACAAAATATAAGAAAAAAATCTTTGCTATTCCTTACAGGCTCCACTTTCTGTTCTAGCTGCTCACCAAATGAAAAAAAATTCAAAATTGCCGTGCAAATTATATGATGCATACAAATCATATATACTTGATGGTTAAAAATGTATTAATGTATGTTATTTTATTTTCGTCTGTGTGAATCTGACGGATATGTTAATATTTCAGCCGTGTTCGAGGGTGAATACGCAGGTCAGCGGGTCGCTGTTAAGAACATCAAATGTGACGTAACCGCTCAGGCCTTCCTCGAAGAGACGTCGGTCATGACGTAAGAGCATTTCCTCCTCCGTTACCTGCTCTGTGTCTTTATTACATATTCCTAATTATCCTCTTTTCCAGAAATCTCCATCATAAGAATCTGGTGCGGTTATTAGGAGTGATTCTTCACAACGGACTTCACATCGTCACAGAGCTCATGACGAAGGTACAGATTTCAGAGGAGTATCTTTCAAACGCACTGAATTTGATAACGTTCATTCATAGACTAAATTGTGTGTTGTCGCAGGGGAATCTGGTGAATTTTCTTCGCACACGAGGACGTTTTGCGATCAGTGTGACGCAGCTGCTGCGCTTTTCACTGTAAGAGCTCACGAAAATACAAAAACTGATATTTATTTTAGGTATTAAAGTCAAGTTGCCCTTCATTTTAATACAGAAAATCAGTGCATCAATTCAAAGCAATCAATGCAAAGCAGTCGCTGGGGTATATTTGTAGCAATAGCCAAAAATACATTGTATGGGTCAAAATCATAGATTTTTCTTTTATGCCAAAAATCATTAGGATATTAAGTAAAGATCATGTTCCATGAAGATATTTTGTAAATTTCCTACCGTAAATATATCAAAACGTAATTTTTGATTAGTAATATATGCATTGCTAAAAACTTATTTTGGACAGCTTTAAAGGTGATTTTCTCAATATTTAGATTTTTTTTTGCACCCTCAGATTCCAGATTTTCAAATAGTTGTATCTCGGCCAAATATTGTCCTATCATAACAAACCATACACCAATGGAAAGCTTATTTAAAATTAACACTTAAAGGAATAGTTCACCCAAAAAAGAAAATGTGATGTTTATCTGCTTACCCCCAGGGCATCCAAGATGTAGGTGACTTTGTTTCTTCAGTAGAACACAAACGAAGATTTTTAACTCAAACCGTTGCAGTCTATCAGTCTTATAATGGAAGTGAATGGGAATCACGGCTTTGAGAGTCAAAAAAAACATACACAAACAAAACCAAATTAAACCCTGCGGCTCGTGACGATACATTGATGTGTAAAGACACGAAACGATCGGTCTGTGCAAGAAACTGAACAGTATTAATATCGTTTTTTACCTCTGATTTTCACCACAATGTCTGAACTGTCCTGAGCGCCTTCGCGTCTTCTTCTTCAGCCGGCGCTTGACGCGTCTTCTTCTTCTTCTTGCTTTACGGCGGATCGCAGACTTATAAGTGCATTACCGCCACCTATCTCTCAAATGGTCCATTGACACTCTATCTACAATCTCAATTAGGAGTGTCAATGGTCCATTTGAGAGATAGGTCAATGTATGTATACAACATCAATGTATCGTCACGAGCCGCAGGGTTTTTTTTGACTCTCAAAGCCGTGATTGCCATTCACTTGCATTATATGACTGATAGACTGCAACGGTTTGAGTTAAAAATCTCCGTTTGTGTTCTACTGAAGAAACAAAGTCACCTACATCTTGGATGCCCTGGGGGTAAGCAGATAAACATCACTTTTCATTTTTGGGTGAACTATCCCTTTAAGATTGGTTTTGTGCTCCAGGGTCACATATAGTCCATGTCGTATTTCACTCAAAAATCAAAAGAAAGAAATAAGAAATTATACTTTGCATAAATAAAATCATGGTTAAATTTTTTTTGCATGAGAAATTAAACCTATTTTTTCCTTTATTCTCATTACCACACTGCAAATAGTGTTTAATTGTTCATTTTTTTTAATTGAATAAGAATCATTGAGAATAATAATTGCAAAAAGAAAAAAAAACAACAACTCATGATTATTTGTAATACAATAATAATAAGTATGATTTTATTAAAAACAAAACAAAACAACAACAAAATCATTACATTATTTTTAATTAGAAAGGCTTTTTTAATTTATTTTTAAAATGTGCTTATATTTTGTTTTGTTTTTGGTATTATAGTAGAAAGAATTTTATTAAATAAAATACTATATTTTATTTTTTAAATGTATTTATTAATATTTTATTAAAAAAAAATATTTTCTTATTTTCGGTATTATGGTAATACTAAATATTCTATTTTTATTTATTTAAGGTTCATTCATTCATTCATTCATTCATTCATTCATGTGTTACATAATCATAATTTATTTAAAAAATTTTATTTTTTCGTATTTTGTGCCATTTTAAAGAATTATTTCATGTTATTTAATATCATTTTGTATTACGTTAATGACATTTCAAAAAAAAAAAAGTAGGCTTTATTTTGTGTTTTTTGTATTATCGTAGTAAGAATTCTTTTATTTATTTTAGAAAAAATGCTTTATTTTATTTTATTTATGTATTAGTATGTTTTGTTGTGTCATGTGGGCTTGTCAGGAATATCTCAAATCATAAAAAAATCCACACGTATCAGTCATGGAGGTTTTATTTCTGCGCTTTTCTCAGAGATGTTTGTGAAGGTATGGAGCACCTGGAGTCAAAGAAACTCCTGCACCGAGATCTCGCCGGACGCAACATCCTCGTGTCTGAAGACACCGTCGCCAAAGTCAGCGATTTCGGTCTGGCCAAGGTCAGTTCAACGGCAACCGACAACTCAAAGTTACCCGTCAAGTGGACGGCGCCCGAAGCCTTGAAGAACAAGGTGAGAGACACATCACGAGATCGTTGATGATCATCACTAGTTCAAACTCAACCTGACATCTCTGTTCCTGCAGAAGTTCTCCGCTCAGTCAGACGTTTGGAGCTATGGAGTCCTGCTGTGGGAGATCTTCTCATACGGCAGACAGCCGTATCCCAAAATAGTGCGTTTCTCACAGTAAATGTATGGTTTGCTCTCATCTTCCTGAAGGTGTGATGTTGTCCGCTGGTGTTTGTTGCAGCCGGTGAGCGAGGTGTGGGAGCGCGTGGATCAGGGTTACCGCATGGAGCTGCCGGACGAATGTCCTCCTGACGTCTACAGCATCATGACGTCCTGCTGGGAGACGGAGCCCAAGAGGAGACCGTCCTTCCACAAGCTCCGAGAGCGGCTGGAGAAAGAGCTCGGCAAACACTGACCTCACCGCACATGTGTATAAAGTAGATTTAATTTATTATTCATCGCACTGTATGAGTTTTTGTTGTGGTTTTATGTTTTTGAGTGAATCTCGAAAACACGCCGTTTCGCCTCAAGTCAAATTAAACTTTCGCATGAAAGTAAAGCCTGTATTTAGAATTTCATTTTTTTTGCATTGCATTTTTATATTGTATCACTTTTTATTTCTTTTATTTTCAAAAAAGAATCAAAAGTGGTTCTCATCTACTGTAATTTTTTTTTTATTATATTTTATTGTTTTTGTATTATTTTTATTAAAATATTATAATGCAAATGATTTTTTAAAATCGGCATAAACAGTAAAGCATATAATAACATGACCTTTAAAAATATTTTATTAAAAAAATATATTTTTTGCATTAATTATAATATGAATTTGGTAGAAAATGTGCTTAATTGTCATGAACAAATTAAAACAATATGATACCATGATGAAATACCTATTACTTAATATATTTAATACATATATGCTTTTTTGTGCTTAATTGTCATTGATATAATGTTTATTTGCATAAATAAAATCAAAATTAAATATTTTTTATCGTTACTGAAATGCAAATATTATGTAATAGTACAGTATTTGGAATTAAAACAAGACACAATGTGTCCAGACACATGGTTATTATTACTATTATTATGTTTTTAACAAAAAAAAATTAGGCTTTAGTTTCTTTTTTCCCTGCCTTTTCTTTTGATTTTGGGGTGGAAATATGACCCATATTCCTGACAGGTTTCTCCCAAATGGTGAAATTCATTATTGCACATGCTTTATTGTTATTATTATTATTATGTGCTTCAGCCCTCAGTGAGGTTCTGTAAAAAAGAGACTTTCTGCTTATGTTGTACATGCAATTCAGAAATGTATTTATTGTAACAACAGTAATAAACCCATCGGGAAATCGATTTTCTACAGGAAAAATCGAATCACTCTTTCATTAAAGATCTGCCGGCCGCGCCGTTCTCAAGCCCAGCCGCCTCTGCTCACTCAAGCCGGCCTCCGCATACTCTAGTCCGCGGCTCACTCAAGGCTGCGGTGTGTGACACTGTGTTTTTCGTTGTGAAAGCGAAACTACTTTGGTTTGGTCTTCCAAAAGAGGACACAACTAGAAATCAGTCTCCGATCACAAATGCAGACATGGTTTTATGTTTACGCGGCGCGATGCAACGCAACGCGTGTAATGAAATGAAACACATTTCATTACACCAAATACACAAAATAATGTTCTTTTTAGCAACATCATATGACCCCTTTAAGAAAGAGAAGAATAAAAGAGTGTTTCACTGATGAAACATCATGGTTATCTGGGATTAGCTCTGGGATCATCCGTATGTAATTGTCCAGTGACTATAAATAGAGACTAGTGATATACTTGTAACTTCCTGACAGACTGGAAGAAACCACCTAGCAACCACCCAGAACACCTTAGCAAGATGCTAAAAAATAATTTCCCAAAGGTTCATGGGATTTATGTTCATTTCATTAATTTGCTCAAACCAGATTATGGCCTTTTTCCGTCGGTTGTGTTTATCCGTCACCCATGAGACCGCAGCAGATTGAATTTCCCATCTTTATTCTGTTTTATAAATCCTCAAATAGGATGATGTGCAATTCCTCAAGATGATTTTAAAGCTGTCTGACCTGCGCCGAGGAGAAGATGTGCTCATTTATGTGTGGGAAATCTCAAATCTATGCTCATAATTTCAGATTCGGCTCAATCCTAGTCACGTTTCAATGCTAGCATGTTCTGGGGGCTTGCACAGTGGTTTGTTCCTGTCTCACTGAAAAAAAGAAACCTCTAGGAGAAACTAAGGGTGATTTCTTGTAGGAATTAATGTGATGAGTCAGTTTCTCCAGGTAAAACTAATCTGTGGTGGAAATGATGGTGAGATTTGTGCTGTGGATTTTACTCCCGTAGAAACCATATTACATGTAGCATGAATTACAGTTCTGATCCAATATAAGAATTAATTATAAGAATATCAATATATTATAAGAATATATAATTATCTTATAAGAATATAAGAATATCAACCCAAAAATACTTACCAGCAGTGACGTCTTGCGTATGGAAGCACATTTCTGCCATAATAATGAGATAAAGTCGAAATTGACATAAATAGAAATTATTAACACAAGTCAACTTATTTCATAATACTAACTTTTTTTAATCAATTTTTTCTCATAATTCCCACTTTTTAATCAGAATTTCAACTTCACAATTGACTTTTAGTCATGATTTTGAAGTTTTTTATTTGTTTTTATCATAATTCCGACTGTTTCAAAATTCCAACATCTCATAATTGAGTTAGTGTTCCATAACTGACATTTAATCAGAATTTCAACATGTCATAATTATGACTTTTTTTGTCATAATTTAAACCTGTTATAATCATGATTGTCATTATTTTGACTTTTTATCTCAAAATTGTTTTTGTCACAATTTTAACTTTTTATCTCATAATTAACTTTGTATTTCAAAATTATGACACTTTATCTCAATTTCAACTTTTTACATAAGTATACATATATTTTACATAAAATACACTTTTTGTTGATTTTGACTTATCGCAATGATTACTATCTCATAATTGACTTAGTATTTCATAATTATGACTATCTCATAGTTTCCACTTTTTACGTCATAATTATTACTTTTTGTCATAATTTTGACTTTTTTATCTCATAATTAACCTAGTATTTTTTTTAAATGACGAGTGTTCACATAGTGTTTAATTTTTTTTACTTCATAATTGACTTTTTTGTCATGATTTAGTTTTTTTCATTTATAATTGACTAGTATGTCATAATTATAATTTTTATGCTATACATTTTTGTCATAATTATGACTGTTTTGTCAGTTTAGACTTGTCATAATTACAACTCTCATAATCTTGACTTCTTATCTCTTAATTGATTTTGTCAAAAGTCGATTTCAACTTTTCGTAATTGTGACTTTTTATCTCATAATCGACCATTTGTAATTTTTACATCATAATTGACTTTTTTGTCAATTTAAATTAGTCAATTTTGATTTTAATAGTTATGAAAATTAGTATTTTTATGGGTCAAATTCTGATTTATTATAAGTCAAGCATGACTGTTACTGTTCATTTTTGAGGTTTTGAGAGTAAAAGTGAGACCACATCCAGTGCAGAGGGATGTTTTTAGAAACCAAACATTAATTGATCTACTTTAATCCTATTAAAACAACCAACATCAGTTACTCGTTGCCAGTGTCTCCCTCTACTGGTCGTCTCTGGTATTACATAATGTGTGTGTATGTGTCTGTATAATGTATTTGAAAATGCTTCTCACATTAAGCTATCATATGGCTTCAGAAGACTTGGAATATAGTGAGCCATGTGAATCACTGTTATTATACTTTTATGCTTTTGCTATTTATAGTGCTTGATAGTCATCACTATGAACTATTGTAGCATGGGAAAGAGCTGTAAGTGTCTGTTTAAGTGTTTGTTATTATGGGTATACGTGCCTCATGCTTTAATCTATCTCTCCTAGTCATGGAAAGATTTACTCAGTGATGTCAGAGTGGGAGGAGCCTGTGGACCCTTTTAGAATAAGGGGCGGAGAAGACCATTTGACTGACAGGTGAAGCATCTTATCGGCCGATTAAAGGCCGAAGCACGTCAGCGTCTCCAGAGGAATATCAGCTTTAACAACGTTAAGAGTATCAGATTAAGTGTTAAGGAGGAAAGTTTAACCTTGTTCTTTCTGGGCTGTGAAGCGCGTAAACTGTCTTTTGATCCTGCAGGGGCAAACGGGGCCAAAAACCCAAATTAAAGGCATAACACAGTCACTGATGCAGCACAAACCTCTGAAAGCTGTTAAAATTACATTACTAATTAGTAGTGTGTTACTAACAAAAACAAGACTTTTTTTTTTTGACGGCATGTGATGTTTACCCATGCAAAAGTTGCCAAAGGGGTGCCATGCAGTCACATTGTGCAGATTTGAGAAATCATTCATGTCTGGAGCACAGCATAGTTTAGTACTTACTGTAAGGTGTTTGATCAGATCACTACTTCAAACTATGATCACTAGTAATATTATTGCTTGACTTATCAAAAGCCACACATTACAAAACCACCTAGACGATGATTAGTTTAGCAGTTTACATGTGTGACGCATCTTACTACACATTATGCAACTGACCGCTAGTAATTGCGTTGGTTTTAATTAGCAAATTAAAAATTTTGATTAAATTAAACTGGTTATCATTTTTAAGTTTCTTCCCAACAGGGGTCCCGTGATCAACCTACACATTTGCACATTTGTGAAATTTCTGGCTGGATGTGAGAATCTGAGAAAAAACGATGCCGAGCTCCAGTGTGAGCCTCCATATGGTTGTTTGCTTAATCGCTGTACAGGTAAACTGCACATCGTTCACCGGGTCGACAGAGGGGTCTTACACACTAATCTACAGATTACTAAAAGATGTCAGGAGAACGGTGAGGACAACACTGCGGGATAAACGCATGCCAGTCACTCTGAACAGGATTGATCCATTTTTGGATACCTACCCGACATGCCATGCAAAAGTTTAGTTGAGGCCAAATGTTGTTTTAAAGGTGCAGGTTTTTCCTCATATTTTACTATTAAATCCTTACCCTCAACAAAGTTACCAAACAGTATTTGGACCACATTGTCTTCCATAGTTTTTTTTTTTTTTTTTTTCATATTATGAAAGTCACTGGGGACCAACAACTATTTGCTCACTCACATTCTTCAAAAGACCTTCTTTTGTGTTGAAACTCATACAGGTTTGGAAAAACTTGAGGGTGAGTAAATGATGACGAGTTTTAGATTTTGGACAAACTAGCCCGTTAAAAACTGTTTTATTTTACACTGAGTGGGTCTCCTAATGGGGGCAAGCATGTGCTCTTTATCGCAGTAGCTTCCATTTTACTAGTAAAAATCACTAATAATACCAAGATTTGCTATTTACGCTATAACATCAGTAACCAAAACTGCCACTAGGTGTCGGGGTAAGCTATATCGCTAACTGTTCATTCGTATTCGCATTGGTTCCAATTAATCTTGTTTACAGATCAGGTTTGCATATCTGTGAAGACTTCTAACATCACCATTTAAGGACCCCATTAAATCAGAATTAGATTTTTGTGGATTTTAGTCC